ANNANNANNANNANNANNANNANNANNANNANNANNNANNANNANNANNANNANNANNNNGTTATTATTATTATTATTATTATTATTATTATTATTATTATTATTATTATTGATGTGCCGGAAGTAGGAATCTGAGTTGAACTGGCTACTACAAAGCTCTATGATCCGAAATAGCTGACTACCTGGAAAACAAGGGCTAGGATTTGTTAGTGTTATATACTAAAAGCTTGAATTTGGATGATATTACACTTTTGTTCTTTATGAATGAGAATCATGTTTGATTAAACAAGTTCTATGTTCTGTTGTTTTGCACTTAGATAGAATGGATCATCATCGGGTGAACAGAAGATCATTCTATCAGTTAATTGCGAAACAAGAATTGTGGTTCACAACCTAGATGGAAATGAACACCCCATCCGAACAGTTGTAGTGTCAACGGTACAGTTGGTCTTGACTGATTAGTTGCACTAATACATTTATGTATGTGAAAATAGTTATTTTCACCCCGTTTTGAAGTCCTCTTAATTTTTCACACCACCCAATAAAAAGCTAAGTTTTTCACCCCAAAAAGTACGAAGACATATGCGATAGATAGACGACCGGTATGAGCATGGGCGAGAAAATTATGAGTTAAAGTATGCGACTGTTCTGCGACGAGTATGCAGAAAATCGATGTAAGATTCGGTCAATCGCAGTCCGTCTCTCATTAAATAATTATTCTTGTTAGGCGAATGAATCTGCGACTATTAGTCGAAAAGATTATTCTGCGAGATACGATCGTCGAATATTATTCGCAGAGTTGGTGCATTATAAGATTTTTTCGTAGAATATTTTTTATTTCTTTCATCTTTCAGTTATGCAATGGGGTATGCGAATTTCCGCATATTGCTCGCACTTCTACTCGAAAGTTATTTTTTATTTCTTTCAGTTATTTCAGTTATGCGAGGGGATATGCGTATTGCCGCATATTTCTCGCATATCCCCTTCGCACTTTTACTCGAAAGTTTAATTTTTATTTCTTTTTTATTTCTTTCACCTTTCAGTTATTTCAATTATGAGATGGGTATGCGAATTGCCGCATATTGCTCGCATATCCTACTTCGCACTTCTACTCGAAAGTTTATTTTTTATTTTTTTTATTTCTTTCACCTTTCAGTTATTTCAGTTATGAGATGGGGTATGCGAATTTCCGCATATTGCTCGCATACCCCCTTCGCACTTCTACTCGAAAGTTTATTTTTTATTTCTTTCATCTTTTATCGTTTAATTTAGTTTAATTATTTTCTTTCAGGTATGAGAAATGCCACATACATACAACAAACAACAAAAATATAATAAAATGCAAAAAACAAAAAAAAAATGTATTCAATGAGTAATTACAGAACGGGGCGGTAACAATTGTTACATAATTGTTTCTGGTTCTGTACTAAGCTGAAAAATTTGTCGAGCAATTTTGCGCCTCATGTCCGTAGCCACCTGCTGGTTAGACTTGTCTAAGGGCTTGCTTCCCATTAGCAAAGCTCGTACCATCTCCACAACGCATACACTACAAGGAATTTTATCATGTTGCAAGATAGTATTTTTGAGGTTCATGATTTTCAAATCGAACTTTTTGCTCACCCTCTCTACTCCCGCATACGTCGCAATCAGTGGAATTAGATTTTGGACTTTTTTGAATGCTTTGACGCGGGATTCGCCAATGTGCTTGTCCGCCTTTTATTGATACGTATGCCGTAGGGGGTCATATACACGTATCGTCCCCTCGAGTAAAAGGATCTGGAAAGCTACGTAGTGCTCCGACAAATTCGCAACTCTAATAATCTGTTGCATTGAGTTGTGTAAAATTCACTAATTTTTTAGGAAAGATTGCAATATTAATTGATTCGGAATCATTGAAAACTTAAAGATGTAATATCCCTCCAAGTAGACGGATTCCCCCAATCGCTGACCCCCTCATTCGCATAGCGAATCAAAGATTGGAGGTTGTCCGAGTCCGCTAGCTCCTTTTTAGCATGAACCTCCTTCTCCAATTGCCCCAGAATCCACTATATAAAATACAACAAAATAATAAATAATAATGTAATTAATATAATTATTAATAAAAATGGAATGACAAGGAAAAGAGAAAGGATAAAAATAATCTCACAAACAACGTAGTCAGCACGATGCTATAACTGCCCAACATGTTGTCCGGTGGCTGGAACCCCAAAAATAGTGGATTGCTTTGCATAATCCCCAAGTATGCGTTCACGTGCTGTTTTATAAAATCAAAGCACACATCATCCATGAATTCATTTTTATACGTTAAGATATTATTACAAGACAAACATATACATACATCCTCCTCCATCATTGTAGCCGGATCAATCAACTCCTTAAACCAGTGCTGACCCACCTCATATTTAACGCCGACATTCCTCCTATTAAATAATATAATAAAAAGTTATTTTTTTTAAAATATAAACAGTAAAAGATCTTTTGGATGTACTTACATTTCTGGCTTCATGGATTTGAGGCTGTCTCAGATGGGGGTGCGACAGATTGGCCAACTCCTGTCGAATAATAGTCGGCACCTCCCGTAGAATGATTGCCGACACCTCAGAGGAGATTCTGGCTATAACATTAGCCATTTCAGCCCGTAGACACGCCCGAATATCCTCAATAAAGGCCGACCCATCTGTTGGCCTCACCTCCTCCCGGTGCATCGGACTATCTTCACCCTCAGTTCGGGCCCGCTTCCTCGGGTGCACAGCGTCGGCTGCAATTTAAGATTGCAGAGCCAACGTGGACGGCAGTGCAGAGACTTGCATACGGCAACTGGCCAGGTTACCCCGTCGCAAAAATCGAGGCCCCTCAACATTCAAAGTCGAGAGGTCCGACACGTCATTCTCCTCTTCATACAGCTCCAGCGTCTCATACACCTCCAACTAAATTTTAAAAAATAGAACATAAAAATAAATATAAAGAAATCATCAGAAATATTTAAGACTTAAAAAAGAATTTCGGATATCACTTGCTAACGATTCCAATAAAAAATATTTAGGATCAAATAATACCTGTTTGTCATAAAATGTATCAAGAAGGGTGACCCTCCTCAATTCCCAGTGAACCAGCCGTGGTGGATGTCTCTCTGAGGTACGTGTTCCACATGTACGACCTAATTCAGGGATTGCCTCGTAGCACCATACTAGAAATGCCCAGTGAAATCCGTAGATATGATATTTCATTTTATTGTACTGGGCCGACTTCAAGTACTCCAACAGGTACTGAAACGAGTAACTCCCCCATGGGAATTTCTCCCACATCTGGTCTTCCTCAAGCAAAGCCCACCAGCAACTATCAATATATTAAGGCTTCTTGTCGTCATGAGGAATGATAAAGTACATCAGCATTAGCATCTTCGCCACTCTCACTATCACATCCCGAGAGGTACGGAACTGCCCCGCCATGAAGTCACCACGCAACTTCTGCATAGTAATCCACTTGCCTTTATGTTTCTCAATGAAAATCGACGATGGAGGAGGAGTAGGCGCTGAGTTCGGGTCAAATGCAGACGATCCAAAAGCAAGCCCGGTCACCACAACATACTCATGGGCGGAGAATCGGGTAAAATGGCTAC